TGAAACCAAGTACTTTACACAAGAAGCATTATTACTCATCCGGAAAGCAGAGAGAACAGAATATAGAGGCAGTCCTCAATTTATGACGTTTCCAGCTGCTTAACAACCAGCCACGATGTGCCACTCGTCGTAACTCAAAGACTAGCTGTGTATTTCTCATTAAACCGCAGAAAGAGTCCCCAAGGTTTTCTTAAATCTCAGGCCAAACCCGGGAAGCAGATCGACCGTTTCAGTCGTCATTTTTGCCAATAAAGCTACACGCACAAAAGCAATTGGGAAGTTTCGTTTGCTCTCTCTCTCTTTTTTTTTTTAATGAAAAGGTGGCTCATTAAAAAGCATTTAAAAAAATAATAATAAGATGGCCACCTTTGCATGGGATAAAAATTTCACACCAGGGATCTGCAACCAGCTGCCAACAGATATTGAACCCTAGGCTCTGCGATTTAAATGCAGCCTCCAGTTTCTCCCCGGTTCAAGAAAAATACATCGGACACCTGAAATCTCTCAGGAGATTTCAAAATTCTCCCAAGTAAGAGGGAGATTATTACCAAACCCTCATCAGAGATGGCGGTTTCTGGCCTGCTTTTCCCTTACACCCTTTTTATTTCCGAGAAAAGTAATGCTAAAAAAAGCGGACGAGGTAGTATTGCCTGTTTGAATTCAAAGCTGCAAAATATATATATTTTTTTTTCCTCTTCTTGTTGCTGTGCGTCTTCCCGCTGGTCAGAGATTCGGCTTGCTTTGCAGGTGGGTCTGCTGATGCTTTACCCGTAGCCACTTGCGGTCGAAGCCTGCCCCGCAGAAGGAGCACTCGTGCGGCTTCTTGCCGGTGTGTTGGCATTCGTGGCGGACCAGGTCAGACCGCCAGCAGAACCCTCTCCCGCAAAAACAGCACTCGTAGCGCTTCTCTCCCGTGTGCCGTATACGGTGCCGGAGGAAACTCGCCGTTCCGTTGAAATTTTTGCCACAGTCCTCGCAGTGCTTGATTTGGTCCTTGGGGGTCTGCGGCACAGGGGGCGGCTGCTCTTTCAGCTTAGGTTTCACCTTGCGGGGAGTCGAAGACAGCATTTCCACCTGGATGGGTGGGTGGCTCTTCCGCAGCCTTTCGGAATAACGGCGCGGCGGGACGGCGTCGATTCTTCCTTGCTTCCAACGGCAAGAATTGGCTCTTCCAGGAAACACCGCTCGGAGTTTCACGTCTCCGTAATAGGCCCACTGGATTTTTTTCTTCTTGCTCCCGTTGGTCTGCTTGTAACCTGCTTAAAGGAAGAGTAGGACTATAATAATAATAATAATAATAATAATAATAATAATAATAATAATAAAGTTGGAAAGGGACCTTTGAGATCATCTAGTCCAACCCCCTGCTCAGGCAGGAAACCCTATGCCATTTCGGACAAATGGCTGTCCAGTTTCTTCTTAAAAACTTCCAGTGTTGGCACATTCACCGCTTCTGGAGGCAGGTTGTTCCACTGGTTAATTGTTCTCACTGTCAGGAAGTTTCTCCTTAGTTCTAGGTTGCTTCTCTCCTTGATTAGTTTCCACCTGTTGCTTCTTGTCCTGCCTTCAGGTGCTTTGGAGAATAGCTTGACTCCCTCTTCTTTGTGGCAGCCCCTGAGATACTGGAACTCTGCTATCATGTCCCCCCTCATTCTTCTCTTCATTAAACTAGACATACCCAATTCCAGCAGCCTTTCCTTATATGCTTTAGCCTCCAGTCCCCTAATCATCTTTGTTGCTCTTCTCTGGACTCTTTCTAGAGTCTGAACATCTTTTTTACATCGTGGTGACCAAAACTGGATGCAGTATTCCAAGTGTGGCCTTACCAAGGCATTGTAAAGTGGTATTAATACTTCACGTGATCTTGATTCTTTCCCTCTGTTAATGCAGCCTAACACTGTGTTGGTCTTTTTGGCAGCTGCAGCACACTGCTGGCTCATATTTAAGTGATTGTCCACTAGGACTCCGAGGTCCCTCTCACAGTTACTACTATTGAGCAAGGTACCCCCTATACTATACCTGTACATTTGTACATATTCTCAGGAAAGGTAATCCTCAACTTACAGACGGCAAGTGGCCCCCAACCTTTTGGGCACCAGGGACTGGTTCTGTGGAGAGAGGGTTTCCCACGGACTGGACGTGGGTTCGCATGCTGCCTGCATTCTGCAGATGGGGCTTTGCTTGTTTGTGTGGACCGGTTTGTGGCATGCCACAGACTGGTGCCGGTTCTTGGTCAGTGTTCTGTCCCAGCCTACTTGAGCTCCTTGTGAAGTTCACAAGGAGAAAACCCCTCTTCAAATCAAGCAGGCAGAAACCGCAGGACAAACCCAAACCCCTTTTATTAGTCACAGACCTGAGGAAAACAAATACAGTTCATCGCAACTTGATTCTTAACCCAAACGGTTGCCTTCTGCAACCAGCACCTCCCACACCTCCCCTTTTATTATGCAGCCAAGGCATGGCTTTCCTAATGCCTTCTCCTTTGCCTCTGGAGCCACCCCATTGCATGCCTCTGTCCTGCTCTCTTTGCTTGCCGGCGTTTACAAGCATCCTGGATATCTTCCAGCTGCGATTCATCACTATCCCCCTCAGATTCCCAACACAGCTGTGTCTCAGCCTGAGCGCGAGTAGAGGGGCCAAGCTCCTCATCAGACTGTAAGTCTTGGAGCTCATCAGAGCCTTCCTCTGACTCTGATGTCCCTCCAGACCCCTACTCCTCCTCCTCTGATTCCCCAGACTCAGTTGCTGGGTCCACGGGCTGATGAGGAATCACAACAGTCAGGGGGTTGGGGACCCTGATGTAATGACCAAAGTTGCAACTGCAATGAAAAAAAGGGACTGATGAGCGTTTTTCACACCTACAACCGTCGTAGCCTGGTCACACGATCAAAATTCAGCGTCAGCTTGGCAAC